TCCACGACGAAATGACTTTTGGAGGCTCGGAAGATGTTATTCGTAATCAGCTCGTTAAACTGAATCTGAATATGTATAATAAAGTCAAAAATAAATTCCACTGTAAGTTTGCATTAGCTGAACCTTACCTGCATTTGTTATGAAAGCGTCTCTTTGATTCTCTGCACACATTTTCCTTCAATAATAACAAATGTTTCAATAACTAGATGGCAACTACGCTATGAGAAGTTAGACAGTTACAATACGGAAACAACTTAAGGGTCACTTTCTAAAAGGGTCAAGCAGAGAGCGACTGAAGTAGCCCGAGATCAGGTTCGTATTTATATAGTATCTACTGCAGTGTTGGACGACACTAGTTTATGGTTAAAGGAAGCAAACGCTCGCGCTATCATCTGAAAAAATACACAGAAATAAATAAAACATTTATCTTAATGAAGAACAAGTGCTTTAGCTTGAAATTTTATCATAGATTTTAAATAGTATGGCGGATATGTGGTAAAAGTATTTCAGCTCCAGACTGGTTTCTTCGATCGCAACGGAGATGTTAAGATCCAGAGTTATAAAATTTATATCTGTCGACAGCAAAGAACTTATATATTGCAACTTTGCTAAATATTTTTCAGGTGTTGGCGCTAGTTTCTGCTAGTCTGTAAACCAACACAAAAATGTTTCCTTTTACCCAGAAACTAGTCTCATCTAACACTAGATACTGTATAAATACGAACCTGACGTGGAGCTACTGCAATCATTCTCTGTCTGAATCTCTCAGACAAAGACTCTTGACTAGGACAGAGCAGGCTAAATATATAGCAGAGATTAGAAGTTTTCTATTCTAAGTGCTAAAGCTCTGCTCGCTTATTGTATAAAAAATCGCACGTGGATAGAAGAGCAAAGGTAGTAATTAATCGAATCGATCGATGTTCTCGATAACAATTTTCGAGTTTACATAGTTCATGCTCATGGGTTGAGAGAAAAGGGTAATGTGCGTATTAAACGTATGTATTCTGTACTCAAAGATCCGTTGGCACTCCACACTGTCAGTTGTAGCTCTTAGCCTAATGAGAGACTTGAAACTCATCAAATTCTGTCCCAAGTTGACCTCTCAAAGCTAGATAGCTTGTCTAAATGGAACTGATAAGCTCAATTTCCAGTCGAGATTTTGTCCGTGGGAGATGCTCAAATCTCATTGGTCTCAGAATGATAAAAACCGTGTTGATAACATTTCTTTTTTTAAAAGTGCAATAGATGGACCACATTGTTTTGTGGTGGGATAAGAAGAGATATAAATAGCGTCTGGGGGAACTATGAATTATGTTTCGTAACAATTTAATCATGATAAGAGACCCATCGTATTAGTAGTGTACCAGCCATCGTTTCAGGTGCGGATGCTGACAACTGTCGCTTGAAAAGTTTGAAGTCTTTTCGAACGTGTTAGTTGCTGTACCTCGATATCTTCTCTACAATCGACAGGCTTCACAGATGGTCAGCTATACTATGACAACATATTGATGAAGCTGTAAAGACTCCTAACTCTTTCCAGTTCTTTCAAGCTCGAGCTCCCCATGCATGCTTACGAACGATTTACTTGTGTTCTGACAAGCCAGAAGAACTATATTGTACGCCACAGCATAGTAAGTATGCTGTCGAACGGGTGATCTGTGGCACACGACGATAAGTAATTTGCCCTAGGGGCGTTAAGCCCAGCTGTTATAGTGGTGCGGTCAGTTGTATATCTACACTTTAGAAACGCCCACGCATAGGTGGGCCGGGAAAAACTTTTTAGGGTGTGCAATAAATTTTTAGAGTATTGTATACACAAACGTCCTTCCCTTCATCCTTTTTGTCCGTGCTAACGCATGTTTTCCCTTCATTTAAACTGTACATCAAATTTTTCGATCAAGAATTGTTCTTTCTTTATTTTCAACTTCGGACAGATATTTTGCTGCGAAATATAATTCTTCACAGGGCAATAACTGCTTATTACGTTATTGTCCTTGATATTTTTTTCTAGGTGGGGCAATCGCCCTGCTGTTGGCCAGCCAAAGCGCCCACCGAAAGATGAAGTTCTTCAATCATTAGTATCGACCCTATAATTGCGTTATGAAAAGACAGGAAGCGAAAATTGTTCATGTCTAAGTTTTCTTCCTTTTCAGAAGTTGAGAGCTGGAGTCCCGCAATTACAACAACAACGACAACAATCAGGTCAGGTGATACAGAACTCGACGTTGACAATTTAATATCTCGATTATTAGAAGGTAAACAATACGTTAGCAAAAGACTAAATTAGATGTTTTCCCAAAATATTAATAAATTTTATCTAATGTATTTATGTAGTTAGACGATGTCAACCGGGAAAAAACGTACAGTTGACGGAAATAGAAATTCGTGGCCTTTGTTCAAAATCACGCGAACTCTTTCTTAGTCAAGCAATGCTTCTTGAGCTTGAGCCGCCATTGAAAATATGCGGTACGTCTGAAAGATACTACTTTACTTTTTGACTATACTTCAAAAAAAGTTTTTAATTTTAGGTGATATTCATGGTAAATTTGTTTTCTTATACATCTCGTATTTATTTATAATTTAGCTTTTCTAATAGGCCAATATACAGATCTTTTGCGTTTATTTGAACTTGGTGGATTCCCACCAGAAAGTAGTTATTTGTTTTTGGGTGATTATGTCGATCGTGGAAAGCAGTCATTAGAAACAATATGTTTATTATTAGCGTACAAAATTAAATATCCTAACAATTTCTTTTTATTACGAGGAAATCATGAATGTGCTTCCATCAATAGAATATATGGGTTTTACGATGAATGTATGATTAGCTTTGTTTTTGGTTATAGTTTTCCCGAAATGAACGTTTTCTAACATTTTAATCTGTAACGAGTGTACCATAAATAATATCCACCTCGGTATTTTTGCTCTAATTCCAGTTCCTCAGGGTCCTTAGAGACTTATTTAAACAGAACTGCCGTAAGATTCTCGATAAAATCATACCTAAACTTTAGTTTCAGAACTTCAATCAAGGAAACTAGGCAAATTATACGAAAGGCAAAAAAGATGAAAATTTTGTAAATTTAGTATTTTTTTCGACTTGAACTTTTCTTCTGCTATTATTTGCGCAAAAAGTGTAGCAGAAGTGAGGACTCAGTTTGTATTTGGTACCTTCAAATGTGCTCAGTCTCGTGGTCTTAAAAAAACGTTTTTAGAACAGATGATGTGCTCGAACACAAAGTTTCAAAAAATACATCAAAAATTGACAATCTACCGGTTTCCGATAATGTACCCCAGCAAGAAACGAAAAACGTGATCGAAGTTTTGATTTTGCAGTTAGGTAGAGAAGAGGTATCATTTCTGTTGAAAACAAAACAAACCCGATCGAAAAATCTTAAGTTATGATAGAGTTATGGGACTTCTACCGAAAGTACCACTATACGCAGAATTTAAAAAATTAATGAAAAAGAATGCGTGACAACCGACAGACAAATTATTATTTCTCCAGCGGTTTGACGTGAAATAAGTTTAAAGTATTGCTCAAAGATAGAGCGAAGTCAGGGCTACAAAACGACTAATTTAGTTTTTCTTTCTTTCGAAACGTGAACACAAGAAGTCATTTTTGAGTCTACACAGTTTTCATCTTTTTTGCGTTTCGTCTGATTTACTTAGATTTCTGCGTTGAATTCTGAAATAAAAGTTTAGGTATGATTTTGTATTTAAAGCACTATCAAATAAATAGAACAGATTGTTCTTTCGGCGATCAAATAATACTGAAAAGAATAACGCATCTCAGCTTATTATAACAAACACAAGCGTAAAATAGAAAGCAAAAATGATCGAAATCCAATTTCTTGAATTTCTTTTTCGATTCAGTTGCTTTCCATTCATGTTATTAAAAACTCTGTTTAATAGAAGAAATGTTAAAAAAACAGTACAATTATGATTAGAAGACACAAGTTTTTGTTCTTTGTTACGATAAGCCAAGATGCGCCATCTGTTTTTATTTCTGAGGAAGTCAGTATTATTTGATCGCTGAAAGAACAATCTGTTCTATTTATTTGATAGAACTTTACATAAAGCTATTATGCCTCTCATTTCAGGTAAACGACGGTATAATATTGCATTATGGAAGGCATTTAGTGACTGTTTCAACTGTTTACCAGTAGCAGCAATTATTGGTAAAAAAATCTTCTGTTGTCATGGAGGCAAGAAATGGATTTTACTACTAAAATATGAAAATTATCAAACATTTCAATATTTTGAGCAGGTTTATCACCCGATTTACAATCAATGGAACAAATTCGACAAATAATGCGGCCAACAGATGTTCCTGATACTGGTAAGAATGAGTTGGTATGTATACAAAATGATGTTTACCGAACTTTTTATATAAATTGTTAGGCTTATTATCTGATCTGCTATGGTCAGATCCTGATGAAAGCATACAAAATTGGAATGAAAACGATGCGGGCGTCTCGTTTAGCTTTGGTGCAGACGTTGTTGCACAAGTAAGACATAAGGATCATTTGGTTTTAAATAGCAAAATTTGTTTATTATTTAGTTTTTGAAACTACATGATATGGAGCTCATTTGTCGAGCACATCAGGTTAAAAGCTTCTAGTTTATTGTTAACTCTGGCTCCATTAGCCTCAAATATTTTTCTTTATTTAGGTTGTGTCAGATGGTTACCAATTTTTTGCTAATCGTCAATTGGTGACTGTTTTTTCCGCTCCAAACTATTGTGGTGAATTCGACAATGATGGGGCGATGATGGCGGTCGATGAAACTCTGAAATGCACATTTCTGGTATGAAACAGAGAAAAATATTTGCTTAGTGGAAGCCATTACAAGTCTACTCTAAATATATCTGTAAAGTTCCACTGTGTCTACTGAGCGATTCACGGAGAATTTTTAACGCAAAAAGCACTGTACTGGCTGAAGGAAACATTTCTAAGCCAGAATATTTGGTCTGTCTGCAACCAGTATCATACGAAAACAACAGTAACGCAAAAGCTAGTAACATTCAAATGACCTTTAATTAAAAATGAGCGATTATTTCTCTGTAAGATTTAATAATAGGCGGTCACAAAAAAGTCATCTAAAAGAACTTTGAACTTTATGACGTAAAGAGGTTAAAATTTCTTGAAATACGCCATGTTTTTCTCAAGTCCTGAGGTGATGCTCTGGAATGAGCGAGTTATACTAGATAATGATTTTCGGAGTTGTTGGATCTATAAAGACAGACAATTTTTGTACGACCCTAGACTTACAGTTAAAGGGATAAGAATTAGGGAATAAGAATGCCTTAGGATGAATCGCTACACGTTTGCTATCAGCTTCTCTAAAAGATAGTCTGTAGCAACTTTTATTTGTATAATGGTTGTGTCTATGTATTTTGGACTTTGAAATTTTATTGTGATGATAGTTTGTCCTTTCTGATACTTTTTATTTCCTTGTAGATTTTGAGAAAAGATGGCTACAATTCTGGTTGGTCCCATGACTCAATTGCATGTACCATAAGTGTAATTCCACAAACAAAAGAAAATAACAAATAATATAATGTTTTTTTACTTGTTCTTTTTTTTGTTTGTTAGTTTATTCTTGTGTTGTTACAAAAGTATCTATTAGTTGTACAAAAATACATTTGAACTTACTTTATTTTAATGGTTGATTATGACCGTCAAAAACAAATAGCATCTTCAGATCTACAGGCTCATTCTTCATAAGGAACTCTCCTACAGAATGTTGTTTAAGACTCCCCTAGTGAATGTAATTGCAAGTACTTGTCCAAGTACCCTCGCAAGTTTTGTCCAACGTTCTTGGCTTTTTTCGCAAGTAAATCAAATACTTGAACTACTTGATCTGCTTGTCTAACACTTGACTAACGAGGGAACCTCTCGAGGTGATTAAAAGCTTCTCGACTCAGACTATTTTCATCATGTAGGGAATAGTCAGCAGTGAAAAACCCCAAGTTGGTTTGGGCCCATGCGCCTTTTAGACGGAGATATGAGTTAATTGATGAAAATGCCATTGACAATAATTAATTAATAGCTCACGACCACGATCAGCTAGGAGTCGGAAATTTTCACCACAGTTGAAGATAGATGTTATCTACTCACTGCAACACTTTTAGGCTTATAAACCAAAGCTTTTGCAAGATATGAATTTTTTATGATTTAGACAGTTTTTAGTGAAAATTCACCATTGAAAACCTAAAAACTTGTTATCACCTTTTAAGTACCTCTGTTCACACTGCAGAAGCTCAGCGGCTCTTAGGACCTATATCTAAATGAAATAAGTCTTTACCGAGTCGATAGAGGTATCTAAAAGGTGATTACAAGTTTTTAGGTTTTTAATGGTGAATTTTC